ACAAAAATGAACACGAACCAGACCAGCCAGTGCTAAATGGCCACGTTATCGGAAAGATTAAGCGGAAAAGTTATGATAACATATATTCAACGAAGTATTATTGTTTGAAAAAAAAAAAAAAGTATCGGTTGATTTTATGAGACTTGACTTTATAGTTTTTGGCTGGGAATGATTCATAATACCTTTTAGAAACACAAATACATGAATTTTTGTCAACGAAAACAACATGCTCTTAAAGTGAGTATATTTTTGTGTATACAACATGCTTTGCTATGATAAAGAAAAGAATATAAAACGACTCTCTTTTAGTCACATATATATATCCTCTCTTGCATGCTTTATTATACAACATGTTCGTGTCCAGTCGTGTGACTATTTGAAATTTGGACCATTCATTATATAAAACTTTAGACCGCTAGAGTTGATGATAGATCCATTGTTATTATGGCTTGAAACAGTTTCCAAATCTTGCGTTACTTTTGGATCAAAGAAAGTGGTTTCCAGATCACAGAAACAAGTAACGAAGAGCTAAAGACAGAAGAGACAACAATGGCAACGACATCACCTTGCCTAGTGTTGTATTGTACGTGATAAACAAGTCTTTTGTGGATTCCGTTGTCTTTTTCCCCAACACAAGCTTCCAATTTTCCTAACGATATGGGAAAGATCAAAGAAGACGAATAGACAACTCCAACAATTTGTATGCTCACTGCCTTCAACACTGTCTTCTTTTTCATCGGAGTCACGACTTAGTCGGTGTGTGTTGTCAGAAACTACTTTGTCTAATCCAGATGTATTGCTGCTTCTCTCCATGTCCTTAGTCAAGATTTGAACACCACACTCTATAATCTCGCAGTATCGGCTGCTAAATTCAAACAATATCTCGCTGTCCGCTTCAAGGCATATATCTTCTTGGGGATAATCGCAATGAAATATACAAAGATGTTCCTTTTGAATTCCGGGGGATTCACGAGGGTGTACTATGAAAATAGGATATCTGTATCCGCTTTTGCCTACGATACCATACTTCAAACGTAGTTCTCTGTTTTCTTTTGTCTGTTGGAGCTTCTTTGGCGAAATCAAGACGCAAACCTTAAACTTGGATGATGCAGAAAAAAGACAATCTTTCTCTTGTAGAATGATCAAGGTATTACCTCTGGCTCGGTGATTGAACCCTGAAGGCACTTCTCTTCCTGGTAAACAAGCAAACTCGTAAAGAAACCATCTTTGGATAATTACTCTCCGCGATTCTCCATCCAGTTTAAAGCAATTAGTGAAATTGAGTTTTGCATTTGGAGTGTTTAGAGGGGAAGTTATTTTCTCCATTGATTTACAATCTTCTGCCATTAGGAGTCTGAGGGAACAAGGGAGCTCAGGCAATGATGCGAGTTTTCTGCACCCGGTTACTTCAAGGCTTTGTAGTTGAGGAATACTTTTGATGCAATCTGGAATCTTCTCAATATCAGTATAGCTTAGGTCTATCGACCATAGGCTTTCGGGGATATGTGTTATGGTCTTAAGATTTCCACTGCCTCTGATATCAACATAGGAAAGACGAGACCATAGCTTAATTGATGCAGGCACTTGTTCTACCGCAGTGTCTGACAAAAGGAGTTGGCAAATATTTGTAGAAATATTTGGAAAACTTGTCAATCGTGTGCATCCGATCATGTAGATTCTCTCAAGAGATGCCAAGTTAATGTGAGTTGGAACAGCTTGTAGCTTAACGCATGAATTCATCACTAAGTCCTCTAGCTTATGTAGATTCCCAATAGATGATGGAAGCTCTACCAAACTCGTGCAGCTATTCAGTTCCAATCTCTCGAGATTTGTAGCATTTGAAAGATCTGGGAGTTCCTTCAACTGAGGGGACCATGACAAATCCATCTTCTTGAGATTTGTAAGTGGCTATATGTGAAATGGAAAAATAGAGGAAGAACATGAGAACAAAATGAGAAAATATATATTCTTTAAACTTTGCAACTTGACTATTGCTGATATTAGACTTTA